GCATGACAGCCCCACTCTGAGATAGCCCTGAAGGACAGTGGTGAAGGGAAATACTCCCAGTGTATGAGACTTTACACCTGATTGTTCATTTTGATTGGAAGGAGATGTACTTGTACTCCAGAAGTACAAGTCTATACTAATTCATGGGCCATGGCTAATATTTAGCTGGAAGTTCAGAGATTTGGAAGAATCATGATTGAAAAATTGGTGACAAAGAGATCTAGAGGAAAGATATGTTGACAGACCTCTCCAAATGGGCATGGCATGTGATGATATCTGTGTTCTATGTGAATGCTCACCAAAGAGTAAACTCAATAGAGGAATATTTAATAATCAGGGGGATAGGATGAGCCATTCTGTGGACACCAGTCAGCCTCCTTCCCCAGCACCTCTTGTCATTGCCCAATTGGTTCATGAATGCAGTGACAATGGTAGCAAAGATGGAAGTTACACATGGACTCAGCAATACACACTTCTGTTTACCAAGGCCCATCTGGCTACAGCCACCATGCAGTGCTCAGTCTGCGAACTGCAGAAATCAACACTGAGCCCCTGACATGGCACCATTCCGAGCTTCCAGCTAGTCACCTATTGGCAGGTTGCTTACATTAGATCAGATCACTTCCGTCACAGAAAGGACATGCTTTGTTCTTACTGGAATAGACCTAACTCTGGACACAGATATGCCTTGCTTGCACACAGTGTGTCTGCCCGAGGAACTTATTTCACAACAAATGAAGTACAATTGGCTCATGCAGTTTATTGGTCTTACCATGTCCCCCACCAGTCAGAAGAAGCTGGCTTGATAGATTGACAGAATGGCCTTTTGAAGACTTAGTTATGGTCAGTTGTCCAGGATGCAAAGTATGCTCTAAATCATCATCCAATATATATTTCTTTTTCTCCCATGGCCAGGATTCATGGGTCTGGGAGCAAAGGGAGGTTATAGGAAAGGTTCTTCTCACTGTTACCCCTAATGATCCACTAAATTTTGCTTCCCATCCTTATCATATCAAGCTCTGCTGGTCTAGAAGTCTTAGTTCCAAAGGGAGGAATGCTCCCACTGGGGGATCCAATGATGATTCTAGTGAACTGGCCACCCCTGGACATGTTGACTCATGAATCAACAGGCAAAGAAGGGAGTGATTGAACCCAGGCTGCCTCTGCACAGAGGTAAGGGGGAGTATGTCTCTGATGTTAAAAATCTTCTGGGTTATCTCTCGGTATTCTCACATCCTGTATTAAGCTATATCAACTCAATTAGCAGGACTGCTAATGGCCCAGACCCTTCAGGAATGAAGATTTGGTTCACCCCACCAGGCAAGGATCCACAACTAGCTAAGGTCTTTGTTAAAGACAAAGGGAAAGTGGAATGGGTACTGGAAGAAAGCAGTTATAAATACCATCTATGACCACATAACCACTTGCAGATATAAGTACGGTGATAGTTATGAGTGTTTCTTCTTTATTATGTTATGACTATATAGTTATATATACATATTTTTGCATATATATATATTTAACCAGTTATTTTTTATGTTGTCCTTTCTCATCCCCTTATGATCTAACATGTGTTAATAGTAGTTAACTTAATATCTCAATATATAAGTTATAGGATAGCAAAGGAGAAGTGTGAATCAGCAGGAATCACACTAAGAATAACCATCATCCCAAGTCAAAAAAAGAACTTTGAATCCTATTCTGGTGAAAAGTGATGTGTTTTTGGTTGGATCTGGGATAAATGTTTCAGGTACAGATGCACACACACACACACGCACACACGCACACACACCCTAGTGTTTCTGCTTCTGTCATCGAACCCTGATTAATACTGTATTTTGGTTAAATTTTAAAAGGTTACATTCTTTAAAAGAAAGTTTTAGATATAATTGACATATAATAAACTGCATATATTTAAATTGTACATTTTGATAACTTGTAACATATACATACACCCATGACACCATTACTACACTCACGTGAGTAAAATACTCATAACCCTCAAAATTCACTTCTTTCTCTTTCGCACTCCCCTTCCCTGCCTCTCCTTTCCCACCTCCCCAGCTAACCACTCATGTGCTTTCTTTTACTCAAGATCAGTTTTCATTTTCTAGAGTTTTATATAAATGGAATCAGACATTATATGCTCTTTTTTTGTCTGGCTTATTTTACTCAGCACAATTATTTCGAGATTCATTTATGTTGTATGTTCATTCTAAAATAGTTTAATCTAAAAGGTTAAATTCTTAATGAAGTGATTTTAAGAATAGGTCAATCACAAGCATTTAGATGCAGTGTGACTGGGCATAATTCAGAGAAACAGAAATCCAGGCAATCAGAGATGATATGCTGGAAGACTGTCCCAGTAGCAGGAGGATCGAGAGATAGCATCATCATGTCAATCTCACTGTTAGGTGAACAGCATAAGCTTCTTTGGAAAGGGTTTTGAAAGGCTGGACTCTGCATCAACCAGAAATTTTGGCCCATGGAGTAGGGCTGGACAGCATCATCTCCAAAGGTTGTCCAGGAGACTGGGGAGGGAATAGAATGCCCACTGAATTTTGAGTGTGGCATCTTCTGAGAAAAACATGAATGACATCCACCTGAATAAAGATGAGTCATTCTTATTCTTACCTTTTTTCAGTACCATCAACACATGAATTCAGCAGCCCTTTGGCTCCTTTCACCTTGTTTTGCTCTAGCCCCACTTTTTCTCACAGATAAGCCAAGAGTGACAGATTGCTCCACAGGGTCCTTTAAAGCTTCCAAATATGAGTCATGGAAAGCAACATAATGTAGCAGGCATTTGACTGAAAAGCAAGAGATCTGGATTTTAACCCAGATCTGGCACTTACTTATTAGCGTGGGGCTGTGAATAAATTAGATTCTCTGAGTCTCATTTCCTCAGCTGTCAACTGAAGGAGCTGGACTATGTGATATTGAAAAGTCTCTTTATTCTATGCATCTAAGAGTGGAATAATAAAGTCCTGGATGATTAACAGGTGTGGTCATGACAAGAACCATGTAGACAAACCCCCATTTGTAACTGTAGGCACTATAGCATAACCAGCCAGCCACCTATCGTCCATCCATCCAACTATCCATCATTTATCCATCCAACAAGTGTCTAGTGAACACTAATATGTTCAAGACATTGTGCTTGGCAAAGGAGATAAGAAGATGAATATGATCTAGCTCCTGTCCTCAAGATGCTCATAGTTTACTCAGAGAAAACAAATCTATACATTTGATAATTTTAACAATAAACATATTAAGAACAGAGATGGTGCTTTGGTAATGCCTTGATCCTCAGAATCTTGTACAGAATAAGAGGAGAATAGTTGGGGTTTTTTTGTTGAAGTAACTGAATACAAGTACATTTAGGGCAAAGGCCATTTCAGAAAGTACTCCATGAAGATATAAAAGGAAAAATTATAAATGTTCATCTCAAACATTGTCCCTTTAGGAAAGTCATGGTCACCCTTTTTCCTTGGTATGTCTTACTGTCAATTATATATTTCTTGTATGTTACTGGAACAAACCTTTAGAAAGAGGAAGAAGAAAGAGAACAAAACATAATTCTACTCTCCATATAGCGATACAGGTAACTATCAATATTCCCAATAAAAAAGGCCCAGGGGCATCTGGGGGGGCTCAGTCAGTTGGGCGTTTAACTCAGGAGCCTCCTGGGATCGAGCCCCTTGTCGGGCTCCACGCTCAGCGGAGAGTCTGCTGAAGATTCTCTCCCTCTCTCCTCCCTCTGCCCCCCACTCTGCTCTCTCTCTTTCTCTCTAAAATCAATTAATCAATCAATTCATCGAAAGAAAGAAAGAAGAAGAAAGGAAAGAAAGAAAGAAAAAGGAAGAAAGAAAGAAAGAAAGAAAGAAAGAAAGAAAGAAAGAAAGAAAGAAAGAAAGAAAGAAAGAAGAAAGAAAGAAAGAAAGAAGAAAGAAAGAAAAAGAAAGAAAGAAAAAGCCTAAACTGGGAAGCCATGAACTTTCTAAGCAAAGGAAACATCTCGAATTGGCCAAATTTAGTTAATTCAATTTATTAACTTGTACTCTTAAACATAAATGTGATGATGTTAAACCTGAGTTTCATCCTCATAAAACAAGTACAAATTTCTGACTTCATAACATACGCACTAAAACGTTTGCTTCGCATCAAAGTTGTCCAGAGATGGTTTTAAGTGAATACGTTTCTGTTTTCAAAACAATTCTCCTTTATTCTCTTCTATTTTACCAGGATCAAACAGCTTTAGATGACTCGATGAAAAGAGAAGGAAGAGCGTATACCAAGGAGAAACCCTGACCATCACTTCTATTTACACTGTTGAAGACACTAGTAAGTAGAAGGCATACGCATATTTTAACTTCAAAGATTTAGCTCTTCAGCAGACCTGGGTGCAGCCCGCTCCTCCAGCTGACTTCCCCAGAGCCAGCAATCTGGGTCACGTGGCTGGCTGACCCCCTCCTGTACCACCTACCTCCACTCCCTGACCTGCCATCAGATCCCACCCCAAGGAGCCAGTCATCCCCGTGAAACAATGAGCAATTCTTATAAGACACAACTGGAGCTCTGTTACTGTGGCACAGGAAGGCTTGATAAGATCTCCTAGCCACAGCATTCTTTTGTGTCAGCAGACGCAAGTGGGATGTTCCTTCTGCAGCTCTTACTGAGCAAGAGGAAGCAGCCTGTGAAGCACAATGTTCATTGAAATTGGCTTTCATCTGAGGAATCCCGTGGTGGCTCCCACTCCACGATGTGCATTCTGTCTGCAGCTGAGCTCTCCTGATGCATTTCCGTTGTTTGTTCTGAGGGGAAGGCAGCACCTTTATGAGACTCCCTCTTTTACTAGGTAAAGGGCATCACATTGTGCTGGGCAAAGCATTCTGTGTCAGGATGTCTCCAGTGAGTCTGGAGCCTAGAGGGAACATTAAAAATAAAATAGAAAACAATCCCTGCCTGCGCCGTCCTGGCTCACTGATGAAGCACTAGTTACATTGGGGGAGGAACACAAGGGCGCCCCAACGAACCTGAGGCACGCGCATGCTTTGTCTTTAGGAGCAGGAAGTTATCGGTTGCTTTCGTTATTACAGTGGGCACAAAGCCACAGGCCGCACAGGGTGGTACTTAACTATGGCACTGAGTGCTGTGGGCCCTATAGAACTGCCCAGAAGCAAGTTGGGCTCCGTTATCTATTGGATCTATTAAATTTCAGAGCAGTTCTGACTCTCAAAGGACAAACATGGGGAGGAGGAGGTAACCCACAGTCAAATCATAGGTAAGAAATCTCCCCATCTCATTGTCCTAGTTTTATAATTTGGCAATACATTTTCTTTTCAGAGAAAAACATTCTGGATCCAGGAGTCTTCTGATTAATAAGAGGTCTAAATCAGTACATGGAGAAACAAGTCAACACGGGTTAGTCTATCTTTTCTTCCTGCTGGACGCCTCCTCTCATCTCTCATGGCCCTTCCTTCTCTGCTCCACCCCATCTGGACTGACCAGTCTGTAATGCAAAGGAAGATAAAAGATGAACTCTCCATGCGGATAGGAGAGTGAACACCTTATTTTCATTTCCACGGCACTTTTGACTCGGCGTATACTTTTTTCCCTCACCTCTCAAAATAAGCTGGCGAAGTTAAGAAGGCAATGTCTATCTCGGCAGTAGAGGGACTCAGCAGAGAGAACAAGGTAAGAAACCCTCAAGCCTCATAAAGAGCTTGCATGAGTACATGAAGGAAAAGTCACGTGTGAGATTTCTGGCCCAGGCCCTCTTCATTAGGCTGGGCCCCTAGATACGAGGACAAATGATCAGTCTCCAATCTGAGCAGCAAGACTAGCTTTTCTCACCACCAGAAGCCTAAAGTCTGTGGTTTTTTGTGACAGATATATAAGGAGATAGTGACACTGGAGAACTTGAAAAACATGGATGTTGTTTCTTGGAATCCAGTGTACTTGTTCTAGTCTGAGAAAAACAGACATCAATCTTATAAGTGATGCAGGATACAGACGAAAATGTCAACCAAAGGCAATTAACTTTGTCCAGAAGGAAAGATTTGAAAAAGTCCTAAGAAGTTAAAATTCTGACTAAACCCCATGAGGAGGACCCAAACTGTTTTCTAAAGGCTTTTCTTAGCTGAGCTAATAATAGAACTCTTGAATACCTGGAAATTTTGTGGAGTCTTCTGTTGGATATTCTTACGAAAGGATTTGCCCAAGTTTCTAGTGACTTTTCCCCTACCTCTGATATGAGTAGTTCATCTCTGATTGGAACAGGCTTCTGGAAAAGAGAATTTATATTAGGGATTAGCTTTGGATAGAAGGGACCCAAGAAACTCTCTTCTTCAATCGTCCTCTTCCCCCAACTTCGGTTATAAAATTTAAATTAAATTAAATGACAAAATAAAATGGATAACGAGTGACCAAAGCTATGTAAAGGTGATCCTGGCAACAAGTGGGAGATTCTGGGGGTCCTTCTAATTTTAAGGTCCTATGACTTTAAAAATCCTGGAAGAATAATGCTGATGCATTTAAGTTATTTTGTTTATTTTAATTTAATTTTTTTTAAGAGAGAGAGTGTGATGCTGGGGGGAGAAAGGGGCAAAGGGAGAGGAAGAAAGAAAGCCTGTTTTGGGGCTCAATCTCACAACCCTGAGACATGACCTGAGCCGAAATCAAGAGTCAGATGTTTAACTGACTGAGCCACTTAGGTACCCCAACTGATGTATATAATTTCTACACATATATTGGTGATCTCTGGGTTAGAGCCACATAAATAATATCCAGAAAAGATATCACATATTAGATTAGAATACATCTATTCAGTTCACTTTTTAGGCCAAAAAAATATATATATATGCTAAATACCTGCTGTGTGCCCAGGACTTCAGAACTTGCAGCAAATAAAAAGACACACTGCAGTGTGGTCTGAAGGCTATCATATAAACAGATGATTTTGGTGTAATATAGTATTAGCTAAGTAGAGTGACAGCCAGGTTAACACAGGCCCTATGATTCTTAATTCACCTTGTGAAGGACCAGGAAGGGCTTCTAGAGGGGCTAGTGCCAGAGATGGTACTTAGAGCTTGAAAAGTAATTATCTAGGTGAGGAAGATAGAGGAGAAGATTCTAGACAGGAAGACTCACATGAGGCAAGTAAGGGGGTCTGAGACATAGGGCACCTTCGAAGAACTACAAGTAGTTTGGTGTTTCTGAACTGTCTAGAGTAAGGCAGGTAAGGGCAGGTAAGGCCAGGCACAAAGTCTGTCTGTCCTGAAACTTTAAAGCTTCTGTTAGGACACAGATGAAAGAAATCAGAACAGAATTTACACCTTAGCACTTTCTGATACTAAGACTCTAGGAATTAGACAGCGTGAGGTTGTGTATCAGAGAAACTGAAAAGGCAAAACAGGTTATGGTGAAATCAAAAGATTTACTTAAAGGTCATGAAAGGCCACTAGAGTTGAAGGTGGGGATAAAACATGATTGACATCTTGCTCAGTTGGTTATGGCCTCTTAGGAGAATTTTATTTATTTATTTATTTATACTTTTTATTTGAGAGAGAGAGAGAATCCCAAAGACTCCCTACTAAGTGTGAAGCCCAATGCTGGGCTCCATCTCATAACCCTAAGATCACAACCTGAGCCAAAATCAAGATCGGACGCTCAACTGACTGAGCCACCCAGGTGTCCCTCTTGGGGGAATTTTAAAGAGCATTAACAATGTGACTCTCTCTCTTTTTTGCCTTTAGCAGCAACCAACAGGATATCTACAAAGGCCTGGATCCTGACTGCAATGCTGTGCACCTAAGAATAAATGAAAATGAAATCAGAACAGAAGAATAAAGGGCAAGGGAGAGAATCAAACTCCACAGGATATGTGTAAAATGCTTTTAGTGACCTCAAATTATGGGATTAAAAATGGAATGAAAAGGAAATGGTTTTGAAAGTAAATGATGGAACGCAAGCATTTGAACTTGCTCTCTAGGAAGTAACAATAGCAAACCTCACTTAAGCTTCTGTGTATTTAGAAAATCAGAAACAAGGAGAAATACTGGGACCATTCTTTGGTTGGGGAGCCATTAGAAACTACTATTACTAAGATAATTCTCGAAAAGACAAGAAAGACCTCCATTAAAACAATAAAAAGGAGAGTCCACAGGGCCTCTGGAAGCAAGGGGCTTGAGTTGTTAGCGTCTCACCTCCCCTTCTTTTGTCCCAAACTCCATCCCTTACCTACTGGGGAAGGTCAAAACCCAAACAACTCTAGAGCCATGAGGGCCAGCTGTATCATTAGCAGGGCCCAGAAGAAAATGAAAATGTAGAACCTCTTATTCAAAAAGCAGAAAATAGCATGCTACTAGAGGTATTAAAATGAACACTTTTCCCTTTCTTCCAGTCTTTCTCTTGACTTGTCATCGTGTCTTTTTTATTTTTACTTACTGCATTATAAATAAAGAAAAAAATAAAAATTTAAATTATTAGCATGAATTTTATCATTCATTTTTATATTGATACATTCTAGTCTTAAATATAAAGCCCTTTAACTTGTATGTAGAATCATCATAATCACACAATTTGCATTTTATAGCTCTTACATTGCATATGTATTTTATTCCTATCAGAAGGGCAGAAATGCTGCAGAATACTAACTCAACTGTTTTTATTTCCACTTCCTTATGCAAGTACATTCTATTAACACTACCTTCAACTTACAGATGGGTAAAGAAAGACTAACAGAAAAGGTAACCATGGGTCACTCTCTTTCCTTTGGATCATGATTTCTAGCATATGTGATTGGCTAATACAGGGAAGTAACATGAGTAAGGAAAGATATGACAGAGTTCCTTAGTTGTTTTGTGTTTCTTAGAACTCCATTATCTTCTATCTGCTTATGAAGCAAGTTCCCTTTCAAAAAGAAAAAGGGGCCTCTCAGGGTTGTCGGACTGCCCTTCCCCCACTTAGTTATAAACCTAATAATATTGCCTTGATTTGCTTCACGTTACAGTGAACTCCTGTGCATCATGGGTCCACCTGAGTGCTGTGCTCAGGGGTCACTGTAACCATTGTATGAGAATGGGGCAACAAGGAATCACAGCCATCATGCACATTATATGTATCTTATCTGTTCAAATACGTGTTCGTTCCATTGCCCTATTTCACTTCACTTAAAAGCATGAGTTCAAGGATAAAATTATTAAGAATCTTAAGATGGCAGTAATGTGGTTTTGGAATATAGGTGAGGTTTGGTGGGGTGAGGTCCAGAGCCGACGACCAAGAAAGAATTCTTGAGACGTCTTTGGTGCAAAATGGTGGTTTTATTCAAGCACAGGGACAGGACCTGTGGACAGAAAAAGCTACTGCACAGGGGTTGTGAGGAATGACCGATTATATACTTGGGAGTTGGGGGAAGTAAAGAAAAGGGAGGTTTCGAAAGGATTTTCATATGTGAAAGAAGACTCACAGGATACTGGAGGCCTTGCCATTGTCAAGTTAAAGGTTGTGCCCCCCCCCCCCCCCCCCCCCCGCTAGCAATGCATTAACATTAAGATAGTTGGATGCTTCCTGGAAGAATGTCACACAAATCCCATCCGGGATTGTTGGGGGCGGGGAGGTTGCGGGGTGTCAGCTTGTGCTTTGTCCTCAGCTAGCCTTCTGCTCCCTCATCAGCAGTAGCAGTGGGTAAAGCAAGCTTGAGGCCCTCCGGTGGGCCCCTATAGATTTGTGTGCTCATGAAGCCAGCCCTGGGAGCAATGGACTAATATTCCTAACTATTGTCTAAAGAAACTGCTTCTTCCAAATAATTGTGTCTTAATTTGACTACAAAGCTATTTCAGAAAGCCTTCTGGGATTAGCAAAGCCTTCCCCGATTTATAACTCAGCCTCATAGAAACAAGGCAATAAGACTAATAACAGTGCAATTTATAACTCAACCTCATAGAAACTAAGGCAGTATGACTAACCAATGGCAGGGAACCGCACCTGGAGAAATCATTTCGCTGCCTGAGTCAAAGACTTTTTATTATATTAAAAATGAAGATTGAATTGATTTGACCTAACATCCTAATGACTATTATGAATTTTAACCTCACTCACTCAAGATCCTATAACAGTGATCCATGTAGCTCGTCCACTGTCTGCCTTGCATTTTGGGTAAGAAATGTTCAAGCCCAGAGGGCTCTCCTGTCAACAAGGGAGCAAGATGGAAAGGACAGTGCAAGAGGGACTAGGTTAAATGTTACCCTTGGATACTTCAATGTGGGGTATAAGACACTCAGCTACTGGGGGCACTTGGGTGGTTCAATTGGTTAAGTGTTTGACTCTTGATCTCAGCTCAGGTCTTGACCTCAGGATCCTGAATTCAAGCCCGGTATGGAGCCTACTTAAAAACAAACAAAAAGACACTAGGACACTGATGGGCTTTTCATAGGAATCACAGAGGTATTTAAAGAGTGTGTCTTTTACTTCCTTTGAATTTCAATGGCACCATTTTGGCAAACACTGCCTTGGAACGTGACTCGCTTTAAAGAAATTTCTTGGCAATAGTATCAATATTGCTTTTTTGTATATGTCAGCTAGCTAACATTTATGACTTTGTAGATGTTGAAGTAGAAGATTCTGAGGAAAGAGTTAATATGGAAGCACCCAGCATAAGACATGCTGGACCCATTTCCTTACCAGGAAAAAATAGGAAGGCACTCATCCAGGAACTCATAAAAGACTGCAGAGAATTTTGACTGGCAGTTTTAGCCTCTGCATCTGGAGAATTTATTTATAGTTATTGAAATCTTGATAATCAGTGGTACAGGAGAAAAAGGAAAGAATAGATTATTGGAAACCATGCATCATTCACAAACTTTATTTTAAACAGTTGTTTTTAACTGCCGCTTTTCTGTCAAAATTTCCACCAGACTGCATAACAAAGAGTCAGTTTACAACTTAGTACTTAATTTCTTTTTATGCCATCTGCTGACCGGCAGGAATAAATGTCAAAGACTGGGAAAGAGCATTGTTGAGTAACCCAAAGCAAATAAAAAATAACAAATGAATGAACTACTGCTATGAAAAATGACTAACCTACTTTGACCCCTCCACGACTGTCATACAACCAGCGGAGATCACAAAGAACAAAACTGGGCCACTGAGCCTAATAACTAGAGCAATATTTATATTACATAGCATACATCTTTTAAATTCCAAGTCATACTTTATTATAGAAACACAAGTCCACTCGAAATTAGCAAGGAGTAATTGGCTAGAAAGTAATTATTGATTCTTTAGCTTTTTTTTTTTTTCCTTTCTTTCTTTTTCTGAGTCATGATGTGTAGTTAAAAGGCCAAATCTCAATAATTCTAGAAGGGAAGTTTTTGAAAGTGAGTCATGATGTGTAGTTAAAAGGCCAAATCTCAATAATTCTAGAAGGGAAGTTTTTGAAAGTTCTGTTTCATTAAGTCAACCTGTAAGGAAGAGCTTCACAAAATGGATCATCTGTTTTTGGACCTTGTTTGATAAAAGCCATAAGCCCTTCCTTGAATGGCAGGAACTCCCCTTGGGATGCACCCCTGCTTTAATATTTAAATTAATTAATAATGACTGATGTTAAGAATACCACAAGTTTATCTGATGCTTTAGGCCTAATGGATTATGGTTAGGCTCTGTCAGCTATTAGAATCAGAGTCAGCCACTGTTCTGTGCCCTCCAGTTTGTGGCTTGAATCCAGAAAGCTACACACTCGACACTTGAGTTCTGAGTATCAACTAACCTTAAACACTTCACCACATTTCCAAGGAATTGCTTTAAACAAGGCGTGGGTACTGTACTCAATTACCTTCTAGTTAGATTAGATTTGCAATGTTTTTTGTTCAACCTCTTTTGTGCAGTAACATTCACTGAGTGTCTATTATATCCCATGCTCTATGCTAAGCACTATTGAGGCAGGAGCTCATGTAATAATGACTTAAAACCCATGAAGCAAGTGCTATTGTTACACTCACTTGCCAATGAGAAAATAAGGACTCGGCGAATAAAGGTACTTTGCTAAGGACATTCACCTATAAAGTGGTAGAGATGGGACATAACCCCATGCTTTCTTACACTGGAACTCATTATTCTACACTGAACCCTATTTCATTACACCAGAAAATGTTACACCTTATAGCATCAAACAGGCTAGGAATAGTACATTTTCAACACACAGATTGCTGAACTGTATAAGTTTCTCTAGGTTCAGACTGTTACCGTATGCTACCTACAGGAGCTCAAAAAGGTAAAATCAGTAAAAAAAAAAAAAAAAGGCAAAAGAAACAATTGGTTCTGAACAGTGACCCATCCTTGGAGGAACTGAAATGCAGTCAGACTGATCAAGAAAAAAGAGGAGAGGCAATGGGTATCCAGAAAGAGTTGGTAATTACAACACACGTCCTTGAGAAGGCAGCAGACCTTTTCTGCTACATGGGTTGGTTGTTACTCTGGCTACCTCCTCGCTGCTGCATCTGAGAGTAGATTGTCAATATGAAATGCCCATCTTCCCAAGAGTAAAAAATCAGCTATATTTCTCACTTCCCTTTCCCTGTTTCTTTTCATTCCCTACCCTTGTTCCTAGTCTGCTCACATATAAAGAGTTGATATATCACTTAGTGAAAGTAGTTAATCTTTAGTCTATAAATTCACCAACAAAATGTCAGCCCCCAAATTATCATGGAATTGACTAGATTCTCATCAATATGCCTCTTGGTAAACTTAGGGTTAGAGTTCATTTGGCAGGACTGTACATCTAAATGGCACCATTATTCCTAGTATTATTTTTCTCATGATACAAAAGATTTTTTAAGTTTTTAGGATTGAGAGCTTCCTCTGGAATGATATTTTCTATTCAAGTCAAGAAAAAGAGAAGACACATAAATTCTAGGTGCCACAGTTTTGATGGGATAAACAAAAACTGAAATATAACATTTAGTAGCTTGAGAACCTTTTGAGAAATTTCTTTTTGACTTGAGGAAGGACAACAGAACAAAGGTGCTGGCTAAATGTAGAAGATATTTTAACTACTGTTGCTTATCTGTACATGGATAAAATCCCTCTAATCCTAGGCTTCTGGTTTAGAAAGTGAGCTGTAAAGTGGGCGATTTCAGAACATTCTCCCACTCAGAAACTCTGTTAAAACAGAAGTAGAGGGATTTGGGAGTGAAAGGCCTTATGTTCATATAGTAAGTTTTCATTTGGGTAATTAAATTTACTTTTATTGGCTGCATAATCTCTTAAAAAATAATTCATATTTACTTCAAATCCTTAGGTCCGAAAATTGTTTTTAGTAAAATACAGTGCCTAAAAGAATGAGATCAGTATCCAGATGAAAGCTTTAACTTTTGTTTTGTGATGCTTTAAACTACGAGATACATATACTTCTATGGTCAGAGGGGGTAGAACCTGAATTATTTTTTAAAAAAACTTGAATATTGGCCAGTTTTCAACACTGCTTATAGCAATATTG